ATATATACTATTATATATATATAATATATATATATATATTTATATATATATATAAAAGCTCTGTGGCTGCAGTTGAAATCAAATGCACGGGAATCAACCCGGTTTCGCCGAGACCTGCACAAAAAGATCCGTGTTTCGAAATATCGCTAAACCTTAAAACCTGTTGCCTACGTGTTTCAACAATCGATTTTATTGCCATTCAGATAATCTCTCTGCTCACGCGTTTTCTCTCTCCGAGCGAGTCTTAACGTTTACAAATGCTAATAATAGCATGTCAGAGCGGCCCGTATGATTTAAATACGGCTGTGCATTTGTAGCGTGAAAACATGTTACACGGTAATTGCGTGCTACACAAGGCGGCTTCGCAATTTCTTCTCTGCCTCGTAACTATCCACTGACACGCCTACTCTATTAGGCAACTGCGGGATTGGCGTGTAGTAGTAGAGCAGCTGAAGCTGTGGCCGGCTCTGCGCACGCACTCTAGATTAGTACCCAGCACTCCTATCCATGCCCACGAGCCACACCCATGCCGCAGGAAAGCGTTTGCCATATTTACTTAAGCTACCAGCTTAAACTTGACGCTGCCGCATGTTAAGCAGTGAGATATGGGAAAAAGCAAACTCGCCGAGAACAAAATGTAAAGTCAACATCCAGATACGCGATAATCATCCACGACTTCAGAAGAATCAATCTTCGTATAAGGATCAACTAGAAAAATCGGGACATTTTTATCCACGTAAGCACGTTCTTAATACAAACACACGCTGTGGCGCGTACACACATCCAGACAGTGTATCGGCTTCAGCTATATATTAGTAGTAGAAGAATAAGTTACGACGCCACACACTTTTCTATCGCCTTTGCACGGATGATCTAGTGAATCTCTGAGAAGTGTCTGAAGAGCGATTTACCGAGCAAACATGCGCGGGGTTGTTGGTGGTTGGTGGTGGTGGGTAGTGCAATTAAAACAGCTGCCTTCGAGAGCCGCCGCTATTCCCTTCTCACAGCTTCCCGCGGAAACATTTTTACCCTGCGCTGCAAAATCGCAATATCTTCATTCATCATCGGAAGAGCCAAGTTGAACAATCTTGCCGGCGAGCGCAAACGACAGATATATGCAGTTTGACGATCGATTTATTCAAAGAATTTCGGCTCAAATGTTTGCCAGAGGTGTCCAGCCTGCAAAAAGCGGAATCATCACACACCGGCATCGGAAAATTGAAAACACTTGATAGGCGCTGCGGCGGGCGGGCTGTCAGCGGTGCGGGTTTCGGCTCCGGCACTGCAAGTACAAACACTGCAATTTTTCATTTGCAAACAATCATTGCCATTTCGCCATCTAAGAAACACATTTCAGAGATGCGCCAATAAAATTCGCGATGACGGTCAATCGAAGTATTCTATACATCGCCCGCACCCCGACTACGTTTCTCGAGTCGCAGTTTACTGTTTATAGTTGTGCGGGGAATGTATAAAGTTGGGATGTGCTAATTGCGGATTAAATAGATTAAACCCATCCTTTACGGTTCGAACAGAAATAAGCCTGTAAATCTTAATATTGGATGAGGAAATTTAATGATCTTAAAATAAACTCGCATCGATACGTGACGCTCGCAGAAATCTGGTTACGTGCCTAGTGTGCTCGCATGAACGACATTCAAAGCTATAATTTCTCTCAACGGTCATGGACTAAATCCGTTTAAAAATGTGGGCGAGTTGAACAACACAGGCGCTCGTACTGTCCCTCACACGTATTTTTACTAAATACGCACTTTCCAAATTCGAAACAAAACTTGCGCGCCAAAACCAGATTGAAAGACATTTGGCAAAACAAGTGCTTCAAATGTCTGCGTGAAGTGGGCGCGGCATTGTTGATAATTTCCGAGCGTGCCGTGCCGTGGCAATATTGCATTTATTATACCATAACTCTATAACATGAAGTCCTATCTGTCGGATGCCATTCAGTACATCATCAACAGGAACGCAAACGACGCAGCCCTGACGATATCAATTCAAGAGAGAGCTGTGTTCACAGATTGCACAGCCAGCGGCGCATATCTCTCAATCATGGGATACGTATATTATACGCATGAGGATCCTCTGAATTCAATACTAAACGCTCACACATTCGTATGTGTGTGAGATAACAGTAAAATTTTGATCGTAGTGGCTGGTTTTTGTGTGTGACTACGTCGTAATTTGCTAGTATGTCGTGCGTGCGTTGCCGATTTATATGTCGGGTGTGTGTGCGTGGTCAGTTTATGCGCTCGCGATGTAGACATGTGCGCGGTGTGTATTGCTCTCAAATAATGGTCTCATGCATATATATGCATCGAACCATTAGCGAATTAATTATAATTAATGATCCCGGCTAAGCCCACACGCAACGTATTGTCGTGCGACCGAAGCCAGAAAGAGCCTTACCCAGCACCTTAGCCAGCACCTTTGAGGTTGCCAATTAGTTTCTATAAGGAAGCTGCGCAACATTCGCAGTGCATCGGGAGGATAACATGCTGAGGTCATTAACTAGGTTTGCTTGACGAGTGTTTGTATGTGTGCGTGCGGAGGGAGGGAGGAGGGAGCTCCGCATGCTATCCTCATTCAGTTAGATTGAGAGGAGAGAAAGCGAGCGAGCGAGCAAGAGAGGGAGAGAGAGAGAGGGGGGGGGGAGAGAGCAAGGGCGAATTAGTGCGTGCTTTGCCGTCGTTACCGAGTCCGATATTACTCGTGGTGACGGCTGCGTTTCCCGCGACGCTCGCTCTCGTGCAGAGCTTCACACACAGCACACACAGCATGGCCCCCGCTATAGTCTGAGAGCACAGCGCGCGCACACCTTCTCTCCCGTCTATATGCGTCTCCGGTACTGCGCGGGAGAAGTAGCGGGGAAGGTTCCGAGTCGCTCTTCTGGCGCTAGGCGAGGGAAGGGTGCGGGGGAAGATAGTGAGACCCTCTTCTGGGGCTGCGCGAGGAAAGGGGAAAGAAGCGGAGAAAGATTCTGAGCCTCTCCCACTGTCGCAAATCCGAAATCCATACATCGGGGAGGAAAAAGAATTGCCACTTTACCTACTAACGGGGCGCGAGCGTGTGATTACTGATTACCCTGGTTTCTCTCCTCCCCTCCCGTCTGTCTGCGTCCGCGGGGCCCGCCATTCTGTCACCACGAGATCTCTCCCGCTCTCTGCTCGGCTGAGAGAGAGAGAGAGAGAGAGAGAGAGAGAGAGAGAGGGAGAGAGGGAGAGAGAGACTTGGAATCTCGACCGACGAGACAGCGAGTCTTGCCCGAGTCTTAGCTCACGAAATTACTCACTCATTAGCCGCTCGTGACTCTCCCGATAAGTGGAAATCGCGAGGCATTTGCGAAGGCTCGCGCAGAGAGAACTATTGGCGTTTGGGTTGGTCGTGTGGAAGTCGGGGCGGCGGCTTGATGACGAAGTGAAGACGATCGATTCCGTGGATTATATATTATATATATCTATATATATACGCTCCCGCGCGTGCGTGCGTGTGCGTATGTGTATGTAGGTAAAACCATCAGCCTAGATTAAAAAAGACGTGTTTGAACGCATGTTTGCGAGAATTGTTATAACTCAATAGAATATTAAACTCATAGTTATAGCTGTTGGTGCATGTGCACGTGTACCTCGCAGCTAGCTGGCATCATAGCCAATGGTGTCATCGTCGCTCGTGTGCATGTGACATGTGCTTTGTCACCTCTAGGGTCTGCGATGTTTAATAATGCATAGTGAGAATCGCTAGAGCGTGAACAAAGAAGGCTCAGCCAGGCCCGACATACGACAGAGCGAAGGGAATGAAGACGCATGCCACGGCGTGCCGCTGCTGGTTAGATGTCAGTCGAGTGTGCTAGCGGTCTCCCTAACAGATTCTCTCTGTCTGGAAGGTCGTAAATAACGTGGACATTTTAGCAGTCGGGCGTAATATGCGTCGTGTGGGTCCGCACACAAACAACGGACTGATTCTACCGCGGCCCGTGCTAATATCAACTGACCTCACAGGGAGACCTGATGGCGTTGTCCGCAGGGTTAAAGGAAAGACAGCATTGTGCTCATTGTTGGCTGCAGACTGCACCTAATTTACCTACGTGACGGAGTTGAATAAAACCCGCCTGACGCACCAAGTTTACAAACTGCAGTACTTAGTTAGTTTTGTGTGTGTTCGCCGTGTATAGCCCGCATTTGTTAGGGCAATAAACAAAGCATCAGTAACTATGGGGCATTTACGGTGGGGCCAAGGAGCAAGAAGGCGCGCACCTCATTAGCAGCCGTAGCGACGACAACTGTCATTAGCAGGGGTCGAAAGAAAGAGAGTGCTAGTGATAGAGAGAGAGAAAGAGAGAGAGAGAGAGAGAGAGAGAGAGAGAGAGAGAGGGAGAGAGAGAGAGGGGGGGGGGAGAGAGCAAGGGCGAATTAGTGCGTGCTTTGCCGTCGTTACCGAGTCCGATATTACTCGTAGTGACGGCTGCGTTTCCCGCGACGCTCGCTCTCGTGCAGAGCTTCACACACAGCACACACAGCATGGCCCCCGCTATAGTCTGAGAGCACAGCGCGCGCACACCTTCTCGCCCGTCTATATGCGTGTACGGT